GGGGGGGAGGAGATTATTTTAAATTATTATCCAGTCTTCTTTTGCTTAGTAAGCTACCATTTTATCCGCGCGGAGCGGCCGCGGCGGGGCCGGCGCGCGCCATCCGCACCCCTTGTTGCCCGATCTCCAGCGTGCACGTTATATATATATAAGCTCATGGCTAGCTATATATATATATATATCGAGGTGTGGAATGGGAGGGGGCTCTGCGGCCGTGCCCCGCGCACCGTTTCTGTCTCTGCGTATCGAGGGTGCCAGAATGTGCGATAAAATGTGGGTACTTTCCAAGGGGATCAAGTAGGGAAGTGATGATATTTCTGGAGTGTACGGCCACACTGCAGCGTGTCCGTTTCTCCGCTTCCTCTCCCGGTGCTCGGCTCTACCTTCTCCGGCTTTTCATTTACATTCTTTCCTCCACACAATATTTCAGCTTGGGGCAGCATATTTTTCTCGGAATTCCTCTTCGGCCTCTCCTGACGTTTTGACGTACATACCTGGTCGGCGTTGCCACGTCCGGATCCTTCGGAAGGCCAAGGGGTAGGGCGAGGGGGCGCCCGGGGAAATCCACGGCGGCTGCGCTGATAACAGGCGCGGATCCGGAAAACACTCGAAGGGGGAGGAAAAGTCGACAAGAGAGGACCCCTGCATGCCTCCCATTCGTGCCTCCCATGGAGTTGTTGGAATTGTTTCCGGAAGCCTGTGAAATCCCTTGATTTTGTCGTTTGAAAGTCTTTGAAAAGTGCTGAAAGTCCTCCATCTTGTCTCGCAAAAGGTCCTCCATCTTGTCTCGCAAAAGCTGCCATGAACCCTGATGAAGAGCCTCTCGAAAAGACGCCTCCTTTTTTTCGGAGCTCGAATCGAGATCCGAAGACTCGAGGTCCTCGATCTGACGTATTTATGAAACGAAGGATAGCCTAAGGATGCGCACATGAATTAAATCAAAAGGAACTTTTTTCATAGGACTTGCGCATTTTTGAATACCTTTTGATTTAATTTATTTGCACATAGTTCCTTTTAACCTACATACGTGTAAGTGAAATTGACGCACTTGGCTTGAAACCTCGTGATCAGGGAAGCCTCTTTCCTAATTTTCAGCTCGAGGTAAAAGCAGGCTCTGGCGATAAAGCAATGCTAAGTTTACACTTTCGGCACATTCATGAGCACTTTTCATGCTGAACAGAGAAATTTTGCATCCGTATCAACAAAACCAACTTCAAGCTGTAACTTTACCAGAGGGTCGTCCTCATGTTTTCCTTTCTGTCCCGTATCGATGAAAGTCTTCAGGAAGAGGGTCCAATGAGAGGCCTTTTCTTTTAAAGGCTCTCTCCTCTCCCGAGCGCTCAGAATTTCAGATTTGGCATCCAGGCTCGAATACACCCTCTCCGCGGCAGCAACATCCTGTCTCGATGCCCGCTTTTCTTCAGGGCGCAAAAAAGCAAAGAAAAAAAACATAATCATAAATGCGAAAAAAGAAGAATGAAACGAGGAAAAAAGTCGAAAGCATGGAATGGATGTGGATTCATTATTCCTGCCTCTGCGATTTGAATCTATTAATTGATTCAGTGCTCTCCGGGAGCCGGGATGAGCGAGACCTAACGCTGGT